GTAAATTTCTGATATTCATAATGTATTTTAATTGTTACAAATTGAACATAATTAAAACAGTGATTAACCACAAAAACAATATGTAATTATATATTGTGAAATATTTATTTCTAATTACAAATAAATGAAATTTTGTCTTGAAGCATGGTGTAGCATGGGTAGCAGTCTTAATATAACAACAGTAAACTACCTCGCTACATTTTGCAACAGTGTGCGTAAAAAGCCAACGTCAGTGCAAAGGTTGAGATAACTTCTTTCTCACCAGATCAGCATACCTGTGGACCCACCTGGAGACGGATAGAGGAGCAGTGTCTCAGTTCCTAAGACCATAGGAAATATGTTTCCTGATGGTCTTAGGAGACCCGTGAAAGGGTTGTTCGACCCCCAAAGGGGTCAAAACCGGAGGTTGAGAAGCGCTGCGTTAGAGGAACGTGTTTCTGCAACATGCCTCCCTAGAGACAGCTACCTTCCTGTTTCTCCCAGGAACACAGAGAACAAACGGCAGTTGTCAGTCTTCTCATGCTGACCTGGCCCAGCTCACAAAAGATATGTTCGCAAGGACATCAGCGTTAGAAAAAGGACATTCTGAGTGTCCTCCGTGGAGGAGGTATGGTAAGAAGTGCGCCACGTCTGTTATCTTCTTAAGATATAACTTTTATAAAGCATACACACATGAAATATAGAGCTTAATAAATGTACATACACATACTCTTCAGCCACCAACCAGTCCAAGAAAGTCAATACAAGCATGTAATCATAACGCCAGTAGGTTCCCTCAGGCCCTTGCCCAGACAATACCCACCACAGGTAGCCATACTCTAATTCCTATCACTGCTTCCTAGTGTAGAGCTTTGTCTGCTCTAGATGTCACTCAATACAATGTCTGGAGTAGCTGTTAAAGAGCTGTTCCATTGCATGGGTGCAGCATAACATCTTCATGTATGTTGCTCTTAGGCATTGGGTTGTGTGGTAGTTACATAAACTGGTGTCAATTTGAGAGGATTATGAGTGGAGGGGTGGAGTCTGGCCTGTCGATCAAGATATAACCAATGAGGTCTCTATGGAGGCATGGCCTTCTTCTGAGAATACTGGGAACTCCAGTATTTCCTCCTTGAAGGTGGGAGACACTTGTCTCTCTCTGCTCATTCCCTGAGATGATGCTCTACTGACAAGACCTGACAAGACACATGGTGCTATGCTGATAGACCCCATGCCCTGGGAACTGGAGAAGCCATGTGGAGACCCCTGCCAGCGCTGAGATGCTTACAACACCACTGGATCCAAAGACTTTCCACCCACCGGCCTGTGATAGTCCTGCATTAGGCGTCATTGCATGTGATTTGTGAGTCTGAAGAGGACTTTATAGACTGGTATCAGGCATGTGGACTAATATTGGATTTATGGGCTTGGACTGGACTAATTTGGATGTTTGCTTTATGATAATGTTATCTCCCCTGCCAGGTAAGTATGGGATGTTTTCTTAATGCACAATTACCCTTCACATAAAACTCTCACTTATATACATATGAGTTTCTCTGGATTTGTTTCTCTAGTCTACCCAGACTAACACAGGTTGCTTCCAGTTTGGGGTTATTATGAATAAAGCCACTATGAGCATTCTTGTAAATGTCTTTAGGTATCTTATAAGTGTATTTAGGTACTTTTCTCTTTTAATTTCACAAAGTATTATATAATGATCACTTCTTCACTTTAATTCTCCATTATTACTTCCACGTGGAAACAGGGATAAGTGGTTAAGCTACAAGGCCAGGATCACACAACAAGACTGGACTCCAGTCTGGGTCTCCCCAGCCTCTGCTGTTAACCATTACGCCACATCCCTGTCCAGACTAAAAGAAGCGGATGGTGAGTGGGTGGGAGGTTAAAGAATCTAGATGCAAGAAGAGTCTGAAACAAAGGAGAAAGCTGTCTGAGCCTCGTCAGAGAGCCTCCTGCTTCCGAGAGGCTTGCGGACAGGCTGCAAGTCCTCTGCCGGCCAACAAACACTGTCCAACAGCCGCCGCTGTTGGGTGCATTCTTTTCCTCTCTCTTTTCACTTTTAATAAATCGTTTCACTGGGGACTCTTACGTCGCTTGTAACAATCTACGCATCCCTTGTACCGGGCACATTTGTGCACGTGCTGCCGTCCTTGAGTCCGTTCCACCACAGGACCGACCACATAGCCTGCCACTGTCCACGCTGTGCCCTCTTCTGCCGTGGCCCCACGTGGGTCAGAGCAGATCTTACAGTAGCTGCCGATTTGCTTTTTAAGTAGCTCGCCATGCCTCTCTTTCAAGGAGCCAATGGGTGATGTCAACATGTTGATGAAAACCTCCTGTTAGCAGCGAACATGTTCACCATCTGTACCAAGAGACCCCTCAAGGCCTGGCCAAACTGTCATATGCTCCCCAGACCTGGCCGACCCCCGATGGCTGGGACGATAAGCCAACTCGGGTTGAGGTGATAGCACATTTCCAGCACATCTTCTTCCCTGGGTCACTGGCTTCTTTCAGACCGGCCCCCACTCACCTAAGAGTACTATGGGTGGTAGCAGAGCCTCAAGGGGTCCTGCTAACCCCTACAGTATATAAGGGACTCCATTCTGTACACAGGGAGAAGCCACAGGACCCACCACAGAGCCTGCCACGTCCACGCTATGCTCTCTTCTGCCTTCCCTTCTTTCTCTGATTTAATACTCACACTCACACTAATATGTTCAGTCCCCATGTGCCAGGCACTAACCCAAGTCTTGGAAGGTGAGACACACTCTCCATCCTCAAGTTATTTCTAGTAGATCGAGCTCAGCAACACGCCGGGGTGGCAGCGTGGCACTTATAGACTCTGGGCTCAGTAACTACCGCCTTGATCCCTACCTTTGCAAGCCATGGCAACCTGGACAAGAGAGATCACGTCTCTGTACCTCAGTTTCTTTGCCTATAAAGTAGGGTTGATGATGATGACAGCTACGACGTCGTGAAGTTGTTTCAAGAACTAAAATAAATCAATATAAGGAGCCTGGCATGGGTTAAGTAAATACGAATATTGAGGAGCTGGGAAAGCAATGTACATACCCCAAAGTCTCTGAGCAAAAATATCATTGGGCCTGTGCTACTGAACCAAATGAACAATGACGGCAACACCAAGTGAGAAGAGGGAACGTGACGTAGCAATTCTCAGGGACTTTCTAGGCATTCCCCCCGACAGGGAGGCATTTGGGTCTCTAGCATTTTTCAAGGAAATTCTATTCCAGTGATAGAGTATAATTATGCATTGTCCCTTAAATCATGCAGACGAAGTGTGAAGGTCTGCTGTTGCCTCTTTCTTGTTACTGTTGCTGTTGTGGGCCGTTGTGCCGTCACACCCCATGCACAACAGAATGAAGCACGGCCTGGTCCCACTCCATCCCCATGATTGGCCAACAGATAGAACCAGTCTCATCCACAGGATTTCTTTTGCTGATTTTGGGAAGTAGACTGCCAAAGCTGTTTTAGTCCATTCGCCTGGGTCTGAGAGCTCCACGGAACCCCGTTAGCATCATAGCAACACACAGCCTCCACTGACAGGCACGGGATGGCTGGGTGGGAAGTGCACTGACCAGGTACTGAACCCAGGTCTCCTGCCTGGGAGGCAAGAATTCTACCACTAATCCACTCCTTCCTCCTTCCTCATCATTATACCTTCCAAATTTAGCTTCATTTTCCGCTCTGAATTACAGCATGTAGATCCTGAATTAAAGAAAGAGAGTCTTGTAATTGTCATCTGCACAAGGAAAGATGGCCAATCTCTAATCTTAAATAGAAACGGCCTGGTCCTGGAGTATCGCCTGGGGGCTGCTACATGAACCGGTGTCCATCTCCGTTCTAGAAGATTAAAAAGGCTGAGAAAACAAGAGAAACTTTCCTAGGTCTTTAATTAAACTTCCGCTATGGTGGCCCCTGTGATGATCATCTCTGGTCCCTATTATTTCGACTTGCAGCCGGTTGTGCCCCGGGAAGCAGACCCCCCTCCGCTCACAGCACAGGGACGCCCACGGCAAACCGGGAGTCACTGTGCTTCGGTGTGCTCATTCTGCATCTGAACCCGAGCAGACACACCAAACTCACTGCCAACGAGTCCGTGCCCAACAGGACGGGTGACGGCCCTCTAGGACAGGGCAGGACTGGCCCTGTGGGCTTTCGAAGCAGCAACACATTACGGGAGTCGAACTCCCCAACTGGCACCTGAGCATTCACTGAAAATAGGAAACAAAATGACAATGACCCTGGTGTCGTGGTTACAAGTGGGGCTGCTAACCATGAGGTCAACAGTTCAAAACACCAGCCTTTCCAAGGAAGAATGATGGCATTTTCTACTCCTGCAAAAGAGTTATAGTCTAGGACACAAAAGGTCTGCTCCTCTGGGAGGATCACCTGTTGGCTCTTCTGCTAAATCACACCGTTCTGATTGCCTCCCTGCATTTTCTTTTTCTCCCTACCTTTTGGGGAGGAGGAGGGGGCTAGAATTAAGGTGCTATGACTAAAATGCAGCGAGTTAGAACAAGAAGCCAACAAAAACCCTTCTTTCTACCAAAACAGCAATAATCCGGCGCTTGGCAGTGATTGCCCTGCCCGTCCTGTCCCCCTTTTCTGGCCTGCTGTCTCCCGAGGTACTCACCCAGGTAAGTATAGCGCCTGTTCATGATCACTTCATCGTTCAGTTTGAAATAGGTGTTGTCCGTCAAGTTCAGCACTTTGACCGTCCCGGCCCAATAAAAGGACCCTGGGGCACCCATCACCACCAGCTCCTACCAGAGAGAAACCCACGTTACAGGAAGAAAGTTGGAGGGGGAGTAGGGGGAGGCGTGCAGCGAGAACCATGATCACAGTACAGCAGAACTCAGTATTGGGTTGGAAATATCCCAACCAAGTCCCCCCCTTTTTTTTTCCAGTGCAGTGACAACAAAACAAAAACACTTGTCCACGTCCCATGGCACTATGGGATTGATTGTACGGGGTGGGGGGGAGCCCGGGAGTGAAGACGTGGCAATACTGAACAAGATGGCAGAAGGCTTCCCACACCAGGTCCCTGTCCTTTCTGTCCACAGATGAGGCTGTAAGAGGCTCAAAGGAGGGAACGGAAAACAACCATCCTGACCCCGAACCACGGGATTCCTGGCCGTGGGACTCATGCAAGAAGTCCTGGTAGCACAATGTGAGTTGGAGATGAGTCTCAATCACATTCTCATAATTAACATTGTTCCCCACTATATCCTCCCGTAAGAAAATCCTCTGTGATGGTTACCTCTTACAAGCACAGGCTGACTGCCGTCTAGCCGGCAGCTTTAACTATCAAGGCAGACGTGCGCACAGCCACTCCCCCTGACCTGTCCCCAGCACCGGTGTTAGGCTACCCCTTCTATGTATTCAGGGACATTTGGGGCTAGGGGACAGCCTACTTTGTTATGTATATGGTTACCTGTAAATAGGGGGGCTTGCACACCCCAAGAGTGTATATAAACCTTGGTTGGAAATATATTCTCTTTCTCTCTCTCTGTGGACCTGGCTCCTGATGTCATGGTAGTCCCAAAGGTGAGCACTTCTATGCCTTATCTTGTCTGATGCCTCTTTAATTTTTCCCCTATATTACACAACCGCCCCTTGCACCCATTCGATTGCAGGGGCTGGTACCCCACACACTGCAGCAAGGTAGTAAAAAGTATTTTCAAAACCCCGGCAAAGCTGATAGAGTGTCTTTTCCTATATATGAGAGCTAACACCAGACACGGGGTAAATGAAGTCCCTCGATAGAGCAGTGTCAGGGGGAAGCAGCAGGGATGTGATAGAGCAGAAAAGACTATATCCAAAAGGGTTAAAGGGGACATGGCTTCGGTGGGAGACCCCTTAGCTGTGCACAAACCCGCCCCCAGGGTGAAAGTCACACAGGCTCATGGGAGGTGGGCGCTATACGGGCCACACCTCTCACTGCTGAACACAGCAACACCGCCTCTGGGCCTGGTCTCTCCCTGACACCACCGCTCCCCCTGCACACTGCCAAACTTGACCGTCAGACCTTTCCAGGCAGAGCTGGCTTCACCTGGTCAGAAGTGGTGGTTTCCGACAAGTCCCCGAAGGGTAGGGCTGTCTCAAAAACATGGAGTTCCTGATAACAAGTCATAAAGTCATCGCTCAATGCCCAGGGCACAAGGGCCTGCAAAAACCAAGAAAAACTGAAAAACAAGTAAAGAGCAAAGGACAGAGAAGAACAGAAAGCATGGGAGAGCGAGCACAAGCCAGCAAGCCAGGGGCTGCTAGCACGCGATACAGTGCTCTGAACTAACCCCTACCCGGTGGCCAACCTGGAGAACAGCCTTAACCAGAGGGCAGGGGGCACACACAGAAGGGTGCCAGGGAAGTAAAGGTGGTGGGATTTCTGCAGGAAAGGTTTGCTTTTGTTCACTCAGGAAGGAGTGGCCCAGGAATAACCGCAGCTGAGCACTGCGCTGTGAGCTGCTGGGATCCCATCTCCGGGAAGGAAGCTGTTGATCAGCCTGCTGTTCCAAAAGGAATTCTGCTCTTTTATAAAAACTGGTCCCTGCCTGCACTCCGGACTCATCCATTCAGGCACCCCTCCTCTACTCAGGGTCCACTCAGGGACCGCCACACTAGCTCTAGAGGGTGGCCGGGCAGGCACGTGACCAGTTAGTTCATCAGAGGACAGAGGCTGTTCCCCTGGCCCTGAGCTTGGGAAGGGATTTTGAATCTCTGTCCAAACACAGAGGGCACCAGACAGCACGGTGAGCGATATGCTCGAGACCAGTTGTGTACACAGCACAGCACTTTCTCCTTCTGTGGGTTTGTCGGGCCAAGGCCGTGAGCATCTCCACAGGCCTGTGAAGGCTCTCTGGCGCAGATACATGCCTTCCCATAAGCGGTCCTGTGGCTGGTGTTCTGCCCTCAAATCAACCCTGGTTCACGGTGACCTCCACGGAATGAAACGCCGTGCAGTCTTGTGCCGTGCCCAAGATGCTGGCTGGACCACCATCATCCACGGGGTTTTCTGGCTGATTGTCAGCAGTAGATAACTAGACCTATCTTCCTAGTCTGGAAACACGGCTGACACCAGTTCTGGGCCATCACCGCACACAAGCCTTCAATGACAGGTGGGATGGTGGGTGTGTAGGAGGTGCAGTGGTCATGAGTCAAGCCCCAGGTCTCCTGCATGGAAGATGCGAATGCTACCCCTGACCCACCCCTGCCTGCCTCCTGGTCTGGCTTAATCCAGGATGAAAATTAAGGCAGGGACCTCTAGCAGACCCTTGCCATCTCCAACAAAGAAATCCCTCGTCTCAAAAATCTTTAAAACAATAGTTGCTCTTTCTTCTTCTCCTCCTCCTCCTCCTCCTCCTTCTTCATCTCCTCTCCTCCCCGCTTAGCAGTACGCTCCCTCCCCCTTTAGTTAAATTAAACAGAGTCCAAGCCTGCGACCCTCCAGTCTGTGGACACAGGCCAGGAAAATGATGTCTCCTGAAAATGCCCCTGCTTGGCTTCTTCTGCCAGTAGGCGTAAGGCGTGTGCCCTTGGCACTGCTCACAAGTGTCATACCGTGTTATCACAGTCTGGCTCCCCACCGCCCAAGAACAACCAACACAAGCATCAACACAAGCGTCTCTGCAAGTCAAAGGTCCCTGTGGCCTAAACTACGCTTGTGAATTTCTCAGGGGACTATTCCCAGAATCCCCCAAGGTTCCAGGGTGTCTGGGTGTGCCCTACAAGAACCCGCGGGCCTTTCTCTGTGCATGTCAAGTCAGCAAGACGACCGGTGCCAGAAAGTCCTTGGGATCTGCCAGAGTAGACTGTGCAGGTCACACGTCGACGTCGTCTCAACCTTTCCATGGTGGTGCGTGACCCTTGAGAGGTCAGTCCAGTTTACCCGGCAGACATACAGACAGGACCCCGAGACTGATGCTCTAAAGAGACTGGGGACAGTCTTCTCTTGCTGCTGTGACTATCTGCACCTCTGTTATCCTACTCCACGCACTAAAACAAACAGTTTCCAGGCAAGTCTCCCTTATCCTCGATGACGAGTTGTGGCTCATGTGGTATCCATAACTCAAGGGCTTTGATAGTCCCTGGGTCACTGATCTTCAGGTCAAGCAGGCCCTGTGGGCCTGAACATTCCAGGGCCATACAGCCATGTCAGGAAGGCCACAGGAGCATGCCCAGCCCGGGAAGCAGCTGCGTGCCCTGTGAGGGGAGCTGACCAGCTCACAACCAAGGGAAGGTCCAAGGGATGAGGTCAGCAGGAGGGCAGGGGAGGGGAGGGGAGGAGGGCCTGACCGACCCCTTCATGCACATTTCCTGCTCAGCCTCAAACAGCTGGAGTCCCAGATAGGAAGGAGGTGAGGAGTTCAAGGAACCCCTGTGTATGGAGGTCAAGAGCCTGGGAACGAAAGCAGAGGCCGGAGCCCAGAGCAGCCAGGGGTCAGAGGGTCTGCCTTCCCATTCCCTGTACATAACGTGCCCATTTCCGTTGGCTCTGAGCCCAGCAGGCTCACGCTGAGCACCACGGTTCCTTGGGTTCTGCATCCCAGAGCCTGGAGTTGAAACAGGTCCTCTTCCCCGTCCAGTCACCCTGAGCTTGCACAACGCCCTGGGTTTCACCACCACACTCCCTCCCTTCATGGTCCTCCAACCAAACCCTCTTGCCGTCACCTCCCACTGACTGCTCTTGGGACCATCACCGCAACCCCCTCTAACTCACGTCCTCCTTAGGTCCTCCATCCGCACCTCTGATTAGTCCTCACTTCTCCCCTCTCCTCTCACCACCTAACCTGGGGCGTCCCCACCCCCACCCTGCCCCCCAGCCCCATGCTGTCTTCTCATTCAAACACACTCAGCCTGCTCAGTTACTGGCAATGGCCAAAGCTGAGTTTCTTACCCAACCTGAGTTCCAGCTCACATATCCAAGCATGCCCCAATAATGTCAGTGTGGGCATCCAATCAACCTCGAACACCACCAGTCTAAAATCAAGACTCGGCAGTCTACCTCTCAGGGGAGTCCTCTGGGCACCACCACTGCCCAGAACCCTGGGTCAACACCTCCTTCCTCTACCCAGCAGTCCTCTGGTTACCCAGTTCACGGATGCTTCTTGACATTCTCTGCCTCTCCTGGCCATTTTCAATCCTACTGCCATCACCTTCACCAGTCTGGCTGCCTCCAACCTGGATTCCCTCCAGCCTCTCCCACTTCCAAACCACCGGACAGACCCAGCCCAGAGAGCCTTTCTTCCAACACGGTTATTCCTGCTTCTGCACGCACACACGCACGCTGACTCCACACTGCCCATTGGATGGAGTCAAACTGGACTGGACCTTGCTGGAGAACAAAAGCCACCGGAGTTGCACATCTACACGGTCAGAAGGGAGTGAGCTTGGCAGACGGTAGGATGGTATTCTCAATCCTCCTCTCGTTGGTTAACAAACCAGTTTCAGAACAAGCAGTTGGACATTCAGGAAAACTATGGGGCTGGTTTCTACTATATGTAATCTATGCAAATATCATTCCAAATGAATTAAATATATTTCTTTTTAAAAAAACACATGAAAGCACTAGAACACAGGTGGATATTTTCATATTCTTGGGGTGAAAAAGGCAAGATAGAGTCCAGGGGGAGGGGTAACATGGACTTGACCAAATCTGAATATCTAATGCCAATTGGATGAAGACACAATAAACAAGCTTAAAAAGATAAATAATGATGAAAAATTTTACAACATATACTAAGAGACTTTAAAACAATGGAAC